TTAAATACATATGTTTTTAATAAATCGTATGGTATTTTTGAAAACCTATTGGCCTGCAGACGGAAATAAAATTATTTCGCGCACTAATTTGGCCAGTGTGTATCTAGTCATGCTTTTAGCCTTTGCGTAGATTTTTTATAATTAAATATGTGCTTAGCCAGGTTTTCTGGCCTATTTATTACATAATCTGTCCTTGAACTCAAGATTCAATAGGCAAGCGAGTCCGACGAATGTTAGGTAATGTCCAGACAGACGTCTAGCAAAATTCTCCGGGCTACGTTGATCCAACAATGTGCGAATAGGGGCGGGGGAAAAGGTGCTAAGCTGAAATGGTGGCGAACGATCTTGACGCGTGGGTAGTTTTTGCGAACATGGGGAAATAATTCTGCCATGTGTGTCGGTCAGAATTTAAGCTCCACCCATATCAAGAAAAAACGAACTATTCATTGGTTATAAATATCACCAATCGTGGTTTCGGTTTAAAGATTGGCTATTTTATAGTGACCAATACTAAAAATATTTTATAGCACGTGACTATAAATGATGGGCCCTGTTTTCCGAATACCTTCCGTCATCATTTATATTATTGCTATGATGATTTTTAGTGCTCTAAAGGAATATTATTCGGACTCATTATCTTTTCCGTTCGTGTTCAAGACACATGGGGCATACTAAGTTACGCATCTTGGATATTTCTTTCAATGTTGTGTTCAGTGTTAGTGTTCTAAGTACATGAATTAAAATTATTCTCACTCATCATCATCTTTTCCGTTTGTGTATGTGTTTAAGACACATAGGACATACTAAATACTACATCTGTTTTAATTACCTCGGGATACAAGAGGATAAAATGGCCCGTATTGATTTCTACACCCTTTTGGTAAGTAAAGCTTTAAATAGATTTTGAAAAAAATATAGCCGCATGTGTATAGAAGCGGTCTTTTGTGTAGATTATATTAAAACTCTACATTTTTAAATATCACCCAATGACGTTAACCCCAAAGTCACCCCACCTAAAGTATGCATATATTGCGATAAACGTCCAAACTATCATCGTTCTTCATCCCATCCCCTTTAAAACGCATGAATATGACATAACTTTTTATCCCTATGTAAAACAAATAGGCCTAACCTCCAGATGTATAAATAGGCATTACCATGTGCTCAAACAAATTGTATGGAAACAAGTATCAGTGGTACCTATATTATCAAACATACTATTTTAGATACTACAATATCGATCTATATTTTAAGCGTGAAACTTCAATTTGTGTGGGTTCCTTTAAACTTTTTACGTTTTATATATACGGAAATAATTTAATACAGTTAAATACGCACGCCTTCCAGACTTTCCCACACCCCCACGCATGCTTATCGCATTTATCTAACCTTCATGTAATAGACATATCGAAATAATTTAAAACTAAAAGATTATAATAACTACACACAACTACGTGACTTTTCCCTCACCCCTTATCGCAATATGTGCACAACTCACCCCTACCCACACCACATACATTTTAAGTACACACATTCTTTAGTCAAATTTGTAGGCCCTATGGAATGTTTACAACTTTTTTACAATTTTTTTTACTTTGTTTTAGACTTACGGAAATTTAATACAGTTAATTTTAGAATAAAAGCAAACAACTACGTGGCTTTTCGCACCCACTTGCATACTTATCGCATTACGTGCACAAATCACCCTTATCCACACCATCATTATTTTAAGTACAACGTTCTTTAATCAAAACTGAGCGTAATGTTTACAATTTTTTTTTTTTTTTTTTTTTTTTTTTTTTACATTTTTGTAATGTCGCAAAGCTATAAAAAGCTATATAATATCAGGATCGCGTAAGTTAGGAAGGTTTCCTATAATACATATATGTAACGAAGTATAAAAGTGCCAAATATCTATATCAGACAAGGTTGCAAAGTATTTCATCTTATAGCTTGTATACTTCCCATTGATTTTTCCTTTAGAGAACTTATCTGCCTCACTTCGCAAAGTTACAACGTCGAACTCCCTAACTTACTAATGTCTGTATATATATATATATATATATATATATATAGATATAGATATAGATATATATATATATATATATATATATATATATATATATATATATATATATATATATATATATATATATATATATATATATATATATATATATATATATATATATATAATTGCATCATTCGCAATTTGATGTTTTTACGGACAAAAAGAAACATCCCAGTTAATATTAGGGGCCGAAAAAGACATTTTTATTTGCATTATTTATCAGGGCGCCAGAGGACACGCCTTATTCAATTTAGTAAGCGTTTGTAACGCCCCATCCTATCACACTTTTTAGACCGAACGTATTCACCATAGCGCTCACGGGAAAGACCAGGGCGCCAAATCGCATCCTGCCGGGGGCTGCCCATGCAAAATTGAATCCCCCTTTCCCCACCACCCACCCACCCATATAGCCCCCTCCCACCCCAGAAAACTTCTCGGGAATATTCATCAACTCCCTAAAGTTTTATCCCACCGGGACAAACTGTGTCGAACCGCAATCGTCTTTTATTTTTATATACCATATATAGAGAAAATCCCACCATTCCGTGGCGCCGCCCTTGCGAAATTAAAAAAAAACAGATTTTTTTTACAGAAACATTCCCTGGAGTGTTCTAATCAACTCCCCAAAGTTTGATGGCGATCGGAAACCGCAATCGACGTTTATTAGTATACGAGCCGACCCGCGGCGTATCATACGCCGCTATTTAGTTGTTTTATTTTCTACTTTTCAGTAATTCATAATTTGTGAATTCGACAGTACCAATGCTGCCACTGAAAATATTTGCTTTAAAACACTAACCCCCCCCCACACCCCCACCGTGAACGCAGCCTCCTCTTAGTTACCTCCTGTAAGTTTAAAATCGTTTCAAACTAAATTATCTGCCCCTAATGGCCGTCACTAAACCCAGCTCTACGATTGTAAAATGTAAACATTTAGAGTGAACTACAGCTCATCAGACCATGCGGGGGTGGGGGAGGTTGATTTATGCCTAGTGAGGAAGAGAGGGGATTGCAAGGCGCGTTTGCAGCTTGTTTTCAAACGGCTCCCAGAAGAGAATTATATATATAGATACCGTATATAGATAAAATCGCACCCTCCTGTTGCGCCACCCTTGCGAAAAAAAAATGATTTTTTTACAGAACCCTTCCCTGGAGTGTTCTAATCAAGTCCCTGAAGTTTGATGGCTATACCATATATAAAGAGAAAACAAATCGCGCCCTGTCGGGGCGCCACCCTTGCAAATTTGAAAATGTTTTTAGTGCAGAAACCTCCCCAGGAATATTCTCAACATCTTCCCAAAGTTTCATGGCGATCGTGCGTACACATTTTTTTTGACAAGGGTTTGAATTTTTTTTATACGGCACCTGGCAACCGGGTGGAACACACCGGTACACAATTTTGAATGGAAAAAACTTATAAACTGGCTTTTAAATATTCTTTTTTACTTTCTCGTATATACAAAGTATAGAGAAAGTATTGTAATCGTGCAAAAAAAATCTCTTGAAATTTTAACAATTTTCACCGTATTACACCTCAGTCCTTCATCACATCCGAAGTATAGAGGACTTATTTTAATCGGCCAAAAATTATCAATCCAGATTTATCAAAATTAAGAGGTTTTATGCGTAATCCATTCTGAAAAACTGGGCTTTGCAATTCTGTCCGTATGTCTGTGTGTCTGTCTGTGTGTGTGTGTGTCTGTGTGTAAACACGATTACTTGAGTACCGTTACAGCTAGGTTGATGAAATTTCATATATAAGTATTTTATCAAAATCGTAGATCCGTATCAACTTTTGAGCGATTTCCGAAAACCGGAAGTGGTACTTTTTCTACTTTGAATTTTTCAAAAGCCTATAACTTGAATACCATTTCAGATAGATAAATGAAATTTCACATGATAGTAAAAGATCTAATTTTCAACCTTCTGTTAAATTTGGAGTAATTTCCGTGGACCGGAAGTAGTAATTTACGCTACTTCCGATTTCTCAAAAATCTAATGTAAATTTTTAAAGTTTTAATAATATTGCGCACTATTATGCACTTTTTTAATTTGGTGTTCACTTGGTTTGCAATTCTTTTGTCTACGAGATTTTATTCGATTTTTAAAACTTTAAGTATTTAAAATGGATTAAAAATCATGTCTATAGCCCGAGTTCCCATCCCCTGTTGTTTTATATAAGAATATTCGAGAAAGTTTAGGGGAGATCACTCCCGATTTATTACTCATTGTGGGTTAAGTCTTTGTGTTTCATTTTTAAAGTTTAACTTTAAGTTAACAATCTGGAGGTAACAAAAATATCAAACAGGATTGAAGTAATCAACTTTTGTAATAAAATAATAGAACATTAACGCGTTTTAATAATTTGCACCTCAGATGGCATAGTTGTTAAATAAAATTAAAATAACTGGACATTTCCTTTTGTTGGGAGGGAACTTTAGTTTTCTTTGACAAAATATGGTCACCCTTTTAGTGGTGTTACATGAGTCACATGCCCAAAATATTTTAATTCCATACTGATCGGAGTTGCTTGGTATGTTTTGGAGAAATCTACTCCCACCTCTAAAATCAACCAGTTGCCCAATTAGTTATGATGTCTTCAGAAACATAACACCCTGCTAAATTTGTATGGAATATCTACCATAATAGGAGCAAATATACCATGAGCCTGATGGACTGTTAGTGTTATTTTTGTGAAGGTGAATATGAAGATTGCCGAATCACTTCATAGAAAATTCTGCCTTCAAAATCTTTCACAAGTAGAACTGAATTGACATACAACTAAATTGTTATTCTGCAGAGTGTGAGTGTCTCCTCTTGCTTTCTCTCCATCCCTGCTAATGCAGTCAAATATTGTTTGTATTATTTTTTGTATTAATGTACAAATGGTTAAAGGAGGCAATATGATAAGTGATTTTTCTCTTTCAAGGTGACCAGACAGAAGAAAGCGAAAGTGATAAAATTGTGATATTTATCGTGGACGCATCGGACCAATGGAAAGTCAAAAAGACTTCACAAAATCTTTTAGATTCAGTGATGGAGAAACTGAAATATTCGAATGACAAAGTTAAATTTGCTGTGGTCTATGTTTCGGAAAAATCTGCCAGATTGTTTGACTTCAGAAAAATAACAGATCTAACAGTTGTTAATGAAGTAAGTCTTAGTTCTTATAAATCAAACACTAAAAGAATATATATATATATATATATATATATATATATATATATATATATATATATATATATATATATATATATATATATATATATATATATATATATATATATATATATATATATATATATTATATGTGTATATTTGTACATGCTCGAGTTTTTTTTTCGTGGGTGCGCGTGAGTGCCAGCTTGTGTGTCTTTGTGACATTTAAAATTGATTTCTTTCGACAGACGCTGAATGGGGATCAATATAAAACTTTGGCCAGCGCCAAAGAATTAGTTGACCTAACGTTGTCTTGGAATGAATGCAAACCGAAGCTTGAAGGAGAAATAGCTGAGCAATGCGCCATGACTATTATTTCAGATGGAGAGTCAGAATTTTTCAACAATGGTAACATATAAGCATACGGCTATATCTTTTTTAAAAAAAAGACGTTTTAGAATTATTGATGTGTTTACACTTTCCTGGTCTTGATTGTATAAGATTGTAAAAAAAAGTACTGATCAATAGTGTTAGAATTTAATTGTTTTAGAATTTATAATGCGAAATGTTAATAAAATATATAATTTATAAATTCTCTCATTAATACTTAAATATCTAATAGAAAGCAAAATATAATTAAAATCAGTCTCAAAGAATAAAAATACAACATATTAGACTAGAATTCGTTGTACATACTCAAAATGACAAAATTATTTCTATGTTTTACAACGAGCGAGATTACACAAAATAAAAATAAAAATATCAGATCTTTATAAGACATTAAAAAACGTAAGAGTTGTAAAAATATTAACAATGGACGGCGCGGCTAAGCGGTAGAGAGCTGGACTGCTCATTCTAAAGTTTCGAATTTGAATCCGGGTTCAAGTCAGTAGTACAAAACACATCAGGGAAAGCAAAGGCGGCCGGGTAAGTGCCGACCACACTAAAATATTTAATAAATTCATTTAGAATATCTTATCAAAATATAGCTCCAACTCTTGACCATATTACACAGCCAATAAAGTTTATGTTACCTATGTCAAAATTAAATGGAATAATTTTTTTTTCTAAACATAACATTTAAAAAAAAATGCTTTTTGTTGTAACAGAGAATGTGTTTACACAATGGAAAGACGCAGGGAATAGAATATTAATTGTTGGTATTGGAGGGAAGGCCACGGGACCCGCTTTTACAACCTTAGCATCGAAGCCGAAAGATCTGCTCCTAGTCCAGTCATCTAGTAAGCTGCTGGCAGTCCAAAACAAACTAATTGAAAGGCTTGAGGGTAAGTGTGGATATGAGAAGTTATTTAATTTTTAAAAAATCTGTTTTACCTTCATACGGGGTTTGAGTTCTTCATACGAATCTGAGAGGATTTCCAGTGTGAATATACACATACAAAAAAATAGCTTAAAACAGTTAAAAGTTAAAATAACATTTAAATTTTTTTGTACGCACGGATCAGTTTAGATCTAATCCTGGCACTATTGTCTTACACGTTACTTATACCATCTGACTGATTGACAAAAACTCATTTTTTTCCTCTTCGTTTTAGTGTTGGAAGGGATTCCCTCCCACACAATTAAGTGTACATGTCAACTTGTTATGCGCCATTATGGCCGTTGACTCCGATTTCAGGCTTCTTTTGTTTTTGGATTTGCTTCCATAGCCTTTGTCCATCCAAGAATATACTACAATGTAGCAGTTGTTTTGATTATAAAGTTTTCTCTCCCAGAAGAGTTGCTGTCTCCAGCTATCGAGCCTCATCTGCATGGTTGTTCGAACTCGAGACTTTTT